GTCCCCTGTGTCCCCTGTGTCCCCTGCCCCTTGTGTCTTTGTGTCATTTTGTCCCTGTGTCCCTTTGTCCTCTTGTGTCCCCGTGTCCCATTGTTCTCATGTGTCCCCTGGCCCTGTGTCCCCTTGTGTCCCCTGGCATCCCCTTGTCCCTTTGTGTCCCTGGCCCTGTGTCCTCTTGTCCCCTTGTGTCCTCTTGTTCCCATGTGTCCCCTGGCCCTGTGTACCTGTGTCTCCTTGTCCCCTGTGTCCCCCATGTCCCCATGTCTCCTTGTGAACTTGTGTCCTTCTGTCCCTGTGTCCCTGTGTCTTTGTGTCCCCATGTCCCTCTGTCCCTGTGAACTTGTGTCTTTCTGTCCCTGTGTCCCTTTGTCCCCATGTGTCCCTCTGTCCCTGTGTCTTTGTGTCCCTGTGTCCCCTGTCCCTGTGTCCTTCTGTCCTTGTGTCCCCATGTCCCCTGTCGCCATGTCCCTTGTGCCTGTGTCCCCTGTCCCCGTCTCCCCTGTCTCCATGTCCCCTGTCCCTGTGTCCCTTGTCCCCATGTGTCCCTGTGAACCTGTGTCATTCTGTCCTTGTGTCTTTGTGTCCCCTGTTCCTGTGTCCCCTGTCCCTGTGTCCCTTGTCCCCATGTGTCCCTGTGAACCTGTGTCCTTCTATCCCTGTGTCTTTGTGTCCCATGTCCCTGTGTCCCCTGTCCCTGTGTCCCTTGTCCCCAAGTCTCCCTGTGAACCTGTGTCCTTGTGTCCTTGTGTCCCTGTGCCCTTGTGGGGATGGGAAGTTCCAGATCTTTTGGAGGTGGCAGGAGGACCTGGGGGACATGGAGGGACATGGGGACATGGGTGTCCTTGTGTCCCTGTGCCCTTGTGGGGATGGGGAGGGAAGTTCCAGATCTTTTGGAGGTGGCAGGAGGACCTGGGGGACATGGGGACATGGGGACATGGAGGGGCATGGGGACATGGGGAATATGGAGACGGGGGGACATGGAGGGACATGGGGGACATGGGGACATGGGGACATGAGGGTAATGGAGGGACATGGGGATCATGGAGGGACATGGGGATGTGGGGACATGGGGACGTGGGGGACATGGAGGGACATGGGGACATGGGGACATGAGGGTAATGGAGGGACATGGGGACATGGAGGGACATGAAGGACACAGGGATGTGGGGACGTGGGGGACATGGAGGGACATGGGGGACATGGGGGGACATGGGGGGTATGGGGACATGGAAGAAGATGGAGGGACATGGGGACATGGAGACATGGAGGGACATGGGGATGTGGGGACATGGGGACGTGGGGGACATGGAGGGACATGGGGACATGGGGACATGAGGGTAATGGAGGGACATGG